GAAGCGGATATTGTCCTCTTTTGGAAGACCAAACAAAGTAGTTTCACTTTCACAACGAAGCACACAGGTCCTTCACGACATGGCGGCAGCGGCAACAATACTAAAGTGAGAATAAAAGTTATGCCTTCTTTCTTTGCGTGAACATTTGGGCGGCGTTATGCAAATCTTCCCACATAGTGAGGTAGAAATGTAGGGGCGTGTTAGAACAAGCCGTTTTAGGTAGGCGTGGTTAACTCTTAACTTTTATAAAGAATATCTCTTTGGATTTGAGACTTTAGTCTTTGCAACTTTACAGATCTTCTTTATGCACCAAGAGCTTGTAACACTCCAAAGAGAAAGGAAAAATTGAAATCGCATCATATGACCCCTTTAAAATATATTAAAAAATACAAATTATTTTAAATTGTAATAATATTTCACAATACTACTATTTTAACTTTTTGGTCAAATAAATGTAGCCTTGGTGAGCAGAAGAGACTGCTTTCAAAAAAATATTTATATTTCTCTAAAACAAGTCTTATTATTAGATACTTTTCCTTCTCAAGTAATTTTATCTTATTTTAAGGATGTTTAGATAATCAACTGGAAAACAAGACAAGCACCCTGCTTATATCTGTATTATAGTGCTGACAATTTGTGATCATTTTGGCCCAATCACATGTTAATACCAGGTGTAAATGGGTTCTATGATGACTTAAAACTTGAGTGTTAATTCTGTAGGTCTGGGAGTTGGTTTGGTTTGATTGTGTATGACCTGATGAACACACTCAGCCGATACCAGCGACCAACTAAAGAAATTCACCATGCAGAATCCGCATAGAAGAGAAAGACGTATATGTAAAAAAGAGAGAGAAACTGAAAGATAGTTGCAAAAGGTCGTGCCTTGCATGCATCCAGGACTGAATCTATAAAAAGTTAAAAAAAATACTCATCCGTGAATATACATCCTAGTTCAACATTTGACAGAAGCACATTTCTTAAGCAGACCTCTCTTTTCATCACTCACAGTCATGCACACCACAGAGAGAAGAGAGAGGCCTGTCCAGGCTTCAGAGAGGATGTGTGGGGCAGCACCAGATATATGGTCCAGGAAGAGGGACGTGCAGAGTGGGGTGGTTTGCAGTGGCACAAACCCTGGACTCTCATCGGACCTTGTGCGATCTGAATAATCTCATTAGAACCTGTCCTTCTCATAAAAGTGTGAATTTGACTGTTTTCATTATCAAACACTATCAACACTGACACCTAGAGGCATGGATGCAGCATTGCATACAATCAAGGGTTTTCAGTTACTGACTCATCTGTAGAAAAAAAACAACAACTTGGAAGTAAGATGTAAGATTTCAGATTCATTAGCCACTATAGGTAAATAACTATAAGAAGAAGAGTATGTGCAGTAACTGGTAAACTATTTGTGCTACAAAAACATTTGTTTTTAACATAAACAGTGTTGGGGAATGTTACTTTTGAATGTTACATATGTAACGATATGTATTATTTTCTCACCCACTTCCATTACAGTAGCATTATATGTTTTTTATTATTATTATTATTTACAATGATTTGTTTTTATTTTTATTTATTTATTTGCTGTGGACTGGTAGTTGTTCCATCATCATTCTGCATTCAACAAGTATATACCAGTATACTCAATAACACATTCAAACTTTCATTAAATTAAAAATATAAATAATATGTGACCCGTGCTGGCAAAATGAGTCAGAATGCGCACGAGCTAATTTTGAGCTACAGGCAAAAAAAGTGAAAAATGTCGATTTTAGTCGATTTTGAGGTTTTCACAAAAATGAGTTAATTAAGCCCTCGTCTAGCGATCTCAATGCTCCAAATAATAATTTTAGATGTTTAATTACCTTTATTTGTACGTTTTCTGAGAGGAGTAGCTACCTTTTCTCAGCTCATTTCTCACGCTGACTGTCATCATAAAGGCGCTTCCGATTGCGCGCGATCCTGATAAATATACACATATACACAGAATTACAGTATATAAGTATTCACGCAAACATAATCTGTTATGTCTTAAGTGAACGTTCGGGGAACTGTTGGGGAAAAAAACATTTGATGTGTAACATTATATTAGATCCGTGCATTACAGTGAGTCTTAATATAGGCCGCCTCATTAATGTTAATCTAACAATAAAAGAATCACTCACTGCTCTTGACTGAACTACTTTTGTAGTTTTAATAATCAATTTTGCCAGCACAGGTCACATACAATAACAAATAAAAAACACTTTAGAAAGTTCCTCTTTCGCCCTTTCGACCCACTGAACACCAAAAGATCTCTGCATGTCTCTGCTCAAAAACACAGTCACACGTACACGTACGTACGTACGTACACACACACACACACACACACACACACACACACACACAGCACA